AACAGATAGATTCAATTAAAGCTGAGATAATTGGTGGTGGAATATACACGAGCTCCTTGAACATTGATTCCACAATTGGAAAAAATACAGTATTTTCTTTCCTATGGTCAACCTCATCAATTTATGTCACCCTTACAAGACCGGATGGAAATGTTATCGATGACACCTCATCGGATTATACAAGTGATGTTGATAGAAAATTAGTTGTGTTCACAATTACTGGATTAGCTATGGTATGATTTCATTTATAGGGGTTTCTAATTAGAAAATCATGATGTTTGATTTATTGGAAACGACTGGAATTTTAATAACGAAAAAGCGGTATCATCGGTCGTTAGATACAAAATAGGAAACTGACTAAATTATATACCAATATTTTAACAGTATTAAGATTCTTGTATATATTAATAAATGACTTGTTCATTTTATATCACCGATGACGTATAATCTTAATTCGGCTCGAACCTTCTTTATTGCAAGGTTCACGAAGATTTTATAACTTGGATTTGCACATCGATATAGTCACTGTACACCAGAGCTCATTATGCTATATTTCAAGCCGACTTAGTGTTGCGTAATGACGTGCACGCCTTCTTAAAATTGCAACATTTTTTCCTTGGGTTGTGTGTTCAAATCCAGTGTTGCATAATAATAATTTCGTAATGCTACTTGTTAATATTTCTATACTACTTTCATTAACAAATCTATGGTTGGATGTGTATTTATATTTATCTAAATACTATAACCTAATATAAGAAACAAATTGGTGTGATAATAATAACTGTTATCATCGATATGCGCGAATAAATGTTGTTTTCCTCATTATAGCCTGGAACGTGGTCTTACAACATAACCTCGAACCAATCACAGACGGTCGAAGTGGCGGTACAGTCAGAAGCTAGAGACGGCGTGGAACCAATACATATTTTTACCAAGCTAAGTGACGTGGTCATCACAGAGACACCCCCCAAGGCTGCCATATATGTACAAGTTAACCAGGGTTACAGTCCTATATTGCACGCTAATGTGATCGCAACAGTGGAGAGACCAACGCCCCATGCATCAGTGCAAGTACAACTACTTGACAATGGAGCAGGTACTGTAACGTTTCTATGTCGAGTACAATTTCTACATAGCGGTTTATTACGTATATATCTTCAAATATATCATTATTTCTGAAAATTTGTATTTTTGTTCGCTTCAAAGGTATTGGACTCTACAAAGAATGATGGTGTATACTCCGGACTATTCCTCGAGTTCGTCACGGCTACTTGTCCTAATTGCAGGTATAATGTAAAAATAAAAGTTGAAGCTCGGGATGGGTTGGTATCTATACCAATTTCAACATCGAATAATGGGCAGGCTCTCTCAATACGACCACGTAAGTATTGTACCACACTTCAAAAAGAATCAAGAGTTAGTGTTATGTGATGTAACACCGTGATATATGCCCGGGATGTAAGACCCGGTTTAAAACATCTATTTATAGTATGTTTTTGATACATTTTCACTTCGAACAAGTTTTCTCTTTTAATCTAAATGACTTTTTAAGTGATATTATCTTGCAGCTCAACAAATGTATTATTTTTGTTTATAGCTGGACCAAAAGAAGAAAGCAATATTACGGTCCCTATTGATGATTTCGATCGTGTGGATACTGGTGGTGCAATCCAAGCTCCAGTAACTGTCAGTGATGATGATGAATTCCCACCATCGAGAATTACCGATCTACGAGTCACTGAGACATCGTATGATGACCAGACTGTTAAATTAGAATGGACGGCACCTGGCAATGATTTAGACAAAGGAGCAGGTAAATATCCACACACTTGTGATTTGTGATATCGTGGAAATGTGTTTTGGATTGGAAACACACACTTAAACATTATTGGCAAGTGATGTTACCGATGAATGTAATATAAATTATTCAAACCCACGGTATGGGCGAAATGCCACGGAAATTGGTACAGATCCGCATTCTGCTGTATTGTTGTGAACCAAACCATAATGGTAATGTATGTTGCTATTTCAGCTGATGGTTATGACCTAAGATACAGTAGAAACTTCACCACGTTTTCACATGAGTTCATGACCGGGGAAAAGTTAACTAATAACCATACCATCGAAGGCAACCTATCTTCGCCAAGTCTATTCGGTAAGACGGAAACAGCGACTATACAACTTCCAGCTACCCATGAAAACATAACATATTTTTTTGCAATCCGTGCATACGACATTGCTAATAATACAGCTGCTCCTTCCAATATTATATCAACGGCCATAGTCGTTGCAACACTAAGCGACGATGATTTTACAACAGAAAGCTATGCTCCTACTACAGAAGGCAATTTCGTTATGAGTACTGAAGATGACATGGACGTTATAGCTACGACTGGAACGGGATCGGAATCTTTATCAACACCAGTCATCGTTGCGGCGTCGGTTGGAGGGGCGTTAATATTGGCACTGATTTGTATAGGTGTCCTTGTATTTGCTAAGTTTTTCTACACACGGCAAAAATCGATAATTGCCCCTAAACAACCCAGAGAGTTGCAAATGTCTTATGATAACACAGGTGTATAAGACTGACATCACGACATAAGGAATGTCTCACCACATGGTGGCATTTTCCTTCAAGTTAAGTTTCAATTGTATATTTTCTTTCTAGGAAACATTTCTGTCGTGAAACTTATACCTTGGCTTTTTACTATACACACACGGCCAACGGCCAACGTAGTTTACACTAATTTGTACAATCCACGGTATTGAACAATAATAAGATGGTAATCGAGGATTTACCATATCACAATGAGACCCTTCATGTTCCTCTATGTCAACGAATCTTCTTATGCCTCTTTCGTTTCACCCCATAAGTCCAAAAATGTCACTGCGTTCCCCTATGTCATCGTCCTCGCACGTTACTGTCTGCAAATTTATTCTTTCAACTCTCGAGCTCGTTGCAACATTTTCCTGACCAAGCTAGGCAAGGATTATAATTCAAAGTATCACGCTAATTTAGGAAGCATATTTAACTACCTGGCTAACTGTATGTCATCATTATATTTTGAAACCTGATAAATCAATAGTACGTTGGCGAAACAACTATATCTGAATTTAAAATGTAATTATCAATTAAACAGGATGTAGTTACTCTGTATAACCCTTTACTATTGAATGTAAATTATTACAACTTTGTATTTAATACTTAGAAATGTCACCTTTGTAATAACCACTCACTGATTAATGTAATAATCTGTATATCTATATATGAATCGGTATTTTATATTTTCACTCGATTTGTGTGATATTGTTATTGATTTAACTTTACTATACTACACAACTGACAAATCTGGACTTTGTTAAGCAACCAGAAAAACATTGTTCTTAAGGTAGAGATGCAGTTTACCTGACAGGTATTTTAATTAGTTAATTAGGAGAGCAAGATGATTCCCTTGTCCACAAAACTATATATTTTCGGAAAGCTTATTGTATGAATTTTAAAATTTTGTTAGTATTATTTTGTTATGGACACTGTAGTTTGAAATATGCACAAAAATGTGCTTTTTTGGTCAAAAGCGATTTAAAAAAAATGGCTTCTAAACCATGCTTCTGTTTCCTGTCAAAATTGGTTCATGGGTACATCTGTTTACTATGAAGAAAGTGTGTCTTGAAAACTGTCTACCAGTCAATTTTGCAGGGCAGCAGCTCAAATTTCACTACTTCAAGTTTATGCATATATTAACACCCGGCCAGTTGTCTGTACGATGTTGTAACACTGTTCAACCAAAAACAATGCCCCGACGGCGTTTTGAAGAGAAACACATTGTCAATCGTTTGTAAAAAAATCAAAACAAAAGGTCAAAGCGTTATGAGCTATTTTTTTTAAAGTTCTGGGGGTTGCACTAAAAAGAAGCTGAGATAATTGCTAATTTGCATAACAATTCACTCAGTAAGAAGTTTGCTAATGCTCATAATTAAAATGGCTGTAACAGTTCAAAATTTAAATGTATTATCGTTTTGTTAAAAGTTAAATATAGTGCATAATATGGAGATTCCGTCATTTCTTTTATTCACCATGTTTCTTTTTTTATTATTTATGCACGGCCTTGCTAAATCTTGCTAAGCATTTAAAAGAGAGAATGTTTGCACCTGTTATCTATATTTTAAAATCGTTTTTTGAGTATGTTCCACTATTCACAATGCTACAAAATTTTAACAGTCTATAGCCAAGTCTGTTTGGATAATAAAAAGCAAAAAAAAATAAAATTCACACCCAAGTGCCCACGAACCTGCATCTCTATCTTAAGTTAACACTTTAATATCTTTGAACTTGTTATTGTTATTGATTATAAATTATTTAGAATCTGTTGTTTGAAACCCGTACACAACAACTTATCGTAAGCCACGATGTGTGATGATTTGTTTCATATTTTCGACAATACAAATTAGAGAGGTATGAATAATTATTGAATGTTATTAGTTGTTTAGATTACTGTTAAAATAATCTAGTGTTTAGAACTCATGACACAAAACATATCGAACGAGTTCAGAAAATTATTATTAAATATCTTATTATTAAATAAATAAATAAATAAATAAATAAAAAAAATGTGTCTTTACTTTTTATCCGAATAGTACAGTGGAACTAATGAAAACTCAATTGAAAAGTATTATTTTAAAGAAGCATTTTCAATAGAAATTTGCTAGAAAAAGTTCAGACATTGTTGATGAAGATACAACAATCCGTATCACGAGACTAAATTAATATTAGCAAAGTCGTCTGTATCGCGTCATTTTCTTAATATTCAGATGGGTTTTAAAAAGTTAATATTAATGGAACGAACATGTAGTGTGAATACAAAAAAATGCTTAATATCATTAACACGAATCGAACTGCATAAGCTTAATAACGTCGGCTAAGATTAACATTCGTGTAGTCTGAAAACTCAGATCGTTGTCATTGAGAAATGCGTACTATATATTGAAAGTGATTGATCACAAAACGCATTATTCGATATATTTGTATATAAACCCTATCCAAAATGTATCTTTGAATTGTGTTTTAAGTGAATGTAGTGAACGTAATTTTCATAGTGATATTAAACACTTTCCATTACCGTACGCGTTTATTGTGAAAACAATGTCAAAATTCTGTGATAATAATTGCATTATTAAATTCCTGGTTGAGACATTATTACATGTGTAGTGGTCATAAACATTTTACAAAAAATATTTTATGCAAAATTATAATTACATTGTTTTCCATATGCACTTCTGTCACTTCACTCACGAATCCTGCAATCAGATTGGTGAAGAGGGACCAGCAAAGCTAGAAGTATATTTGATTGATACTGCAATAAACCACTGCTATGTGATGAATTGGTAGATAAAAATAATAAAAAGGTCGAACGAACACTTAACACAATTATTGGCCTTTTATTACATGTACCTGTGCATGTGCAAACAAACAATGTATTTTACACGTGTTGTATACGTCGCTATGAGTCCCATATCGAGCAGGACGCGGCGTGACAACCACCACCCTTTAAATAATTGTTTTACAATTTAATCAGCGAGTGTTTGAAAAGACATTAGAACTGAGTGTGTGGCAAATCACTTTACACAGTCATTGACATATTAATACGTGTACCTGTGTAGAAAGCCTTCTCGACACGTACACTCGCCTGTTACCGAATACTTCAACTTATATTATAGCGTGAAGCGAAAACATTTATCGTGTAGATGATTTTACGGCTAAACATTTGAATAATTCGTTTTAAAATTTCCTCAACAAGTTTCTGAAATAATAATTTGCGTGTGCGTTTCCTCTGTTATTTAGCAAGTAATAAATACGTATGGAATGCGGAAGCATATTAACTGCCTGCCTAACTGTATGTCATCATTACATTTGAAAACCTGATAACTGTATTAGGGGGACAATACTTTTTAGTTTGGGATAAATAACCACGTGTCTGAATAGATTGTGACTTGCAGCTCGGAGTTATAAGCATACCAAGCCGTAACTAAGGGATAGTTTTCCGTATATTG